ACTCTGCTTGAAGTTCAGTGGTATCTTCCTCAGAATCTAACATTCAACTTATGTTTGTGCCATCAGCGAATATACGCATATCACTTACAATTTCCTCGTCCAGGTCATTAATGTAAATTATGATCAACAATGTGCCTAAAACTGATCCTTATGGAACGCCACTTATGACTAGTTCCCATTCTGATTTCACTCCATTTATGCAAAATAACTACTTTCTGTTAGTCAGCCATGCCTCAGTCTAAGATAGAATTTTATTCTGTTCCAGCAGTCTTGTGTGTGGTATTTTATCAAGGGCCTTGCTGTTGTCCAAATAGACAATATCGTATTCCTTATCGTGTCCATTGCCTCAAGTAATTTACTGAAGAACAGTCTGTTAGACAGGAACGGTCCCCTTATGAATCCATGTTGAGGTTCATCCATCAAATTATGTTTATCAAGGTGGCTTATTATATTGACTATAAATGATTCTAACAATTTGCCTACTATTGACGGCAGACTTATTGGGTGGTAATTTGATGGAAATGACTTATTTCCTTTTATAAAGATAAATGAGGAGTGACGTGTGTAGAGTGGTGGCGTGTGAGTGGTGAGGAGTGGCGTGAGTGGTGGCGTATGAGTGGTGAGGAGTGGCGTATGAGTGGTGAGGAGTGGCGTGTGTGGTGTGAGTAGTGGCGTGTGAGTGGTGAGGAGTGGCGTGAGTAATGAAGTGTGATGCGAGTGGTGAGAAGTGGTATTACGAACACAGGTAAGATGACCTGTAACCTGATCGTAATGGGTTTGGAGCAAAAAAAAACTCAGCAGATAGGCTATAACATGTATTTCCTTCACCAGATACATACAAATATTTACACTTATGTACACTATGTACAAACATTGGAATAGTCACTATACTGCACGGCGACAGAATGTCAAAAAGCAAAAGTCAGAGAGAGCACCATACTCAACCAGCTGGTAGGCAAGTCTGGTAAATGCTGACTGCGAGTGAACCACATGGCCTCAGCATTTGGCGGGCTTGCCTGTGATTGGACAATGAACCAAGGTACTGATTTAACGACGGGTTCCCTAAAAAAAATGTTAAACCCTTAGCACCCGGTTCGCTGGTTGGGAGGCAGCCTATATGGGAGTGTGTACATATGCCGAATAAATTGTAACATTCTTAGCATGCCACAAGTGGCCTATGAGTGGTGAGGGGTGGTGTGAGTGGTGAGGGGTGGTGTGAGTGGTGAGGGGTGGCGTGTGAGTGGTGAAGGGTGGCGTGTGAGTGGTAAAGGGTGGTGTGAATGATAAAGGGTGTCCTGTGAGTGGTGAGGGGTGGCATGTGAGCGGTGAGGGGTGGCATGTGAGTGGTGAGGGGTGGCATGTGAGTGGTGAGGAGTGGCATGTGAGTGCTGAGGGGTTTCATGTGAGTGGTGAGGAGTGGCATATGAGAGGTCACAGGTGGTGAGTGGTGAGGTGTGGCGTGACTGGGGAGGAGTGATGAGTGGTGTGAGTGGTGAGGAGTGGCATGTGAGTCGTGAGAGGTGGCTTGCGAGAGGTGTGTGTGTTGTGAAGAGTGGTGGGAGTGGCGTGCGAGTGGTGAGGATTGGTGTGTGAGTCGTGAGGGGTGGCGTGTGAGTGGTCAGAGGTGGTGTGTGAGGGGTGAGTGACGTGTAAGTGATGAGTGGCGTGTGAGTGGTGAAGGGTGGCGTGTGAGTAATTAGGGGTGGCTTGTGAGTGGTGAGGAGTGGTGTATGAGTGGTGAGGGGTGGTGTGTGAGTAATGAGGAGTGGCGTGTGAGTGGTCAGAGTTGGTGTGTGAGTGGTGAGGGGCTTCGTGTGAGAGGTTACAGGTGGTGTGTGTGTGAGGGGTGGCGTATGAGAGGTTACAGGTGGTGTGTGGGTGGTGAGGGGTGGCGAATGAGAGGTTACAAATGGTGTGTGAGTGGTGAGGGGGTGATGTGTGAATAGTGAGGGGTGGTTTGAGTGGTGAGGGGTTGTGTGTGAGTGGTGGTGTGAAAGTGGTGAGGGGGTGATGTGTGAATGGTGAGGGTGGTTTGAGTGGTGAGGTGTTGTGTGGTGAGGGTAGTGTGTGAATGGTGAGGGGTGTGTGAGGGGTGAGGGGTGGTGTGTGAGTGGTGAGGGTTGTGTGTCAGTGGTGACGGGTAGTGTGTAAGTGGTGAGGGTGGTGTGTGTGATGAGGGGTTGTGGGAGTGGTGAGGGGTTAAGAACATAAGAACATAAGAACGAAGGAACACTGCAGAAGGCCTACTGGCCCATGCGAGGCAGGTCCAAGTCCCTACCGGCTTAAGCCAATGCACCCAACCTAGTCAGGTCAGGTCACATTGACTCAAGGGAGGAACACGGCAACCGACCCGTTAGCACAAGCTATCAGGTCTAACTCACACCCACCCACATCTACTCATGTATTTATCCAACCTATTTTTAAAGCTACACAACGTTCTGGCCTCTATAACGGTACTTGGGAGTTTGTTCCACTCATCCACAACTCTATTACCAAACCAGTACTTTCCTATATCCCTCCTGAATCTGAATTTTTCCAACTTAAAACCATTGCTGCGAGTCCTGTCTAGGCTAGATATTATCAGCACACTATTTACATCCCCTTTATTTATTCCTGTCTTCCACTTATAAACCTCAATCATATCCCCCCTAATTCTACGTCTTTCTAGAGAGTGCAGTTTCAGGGCCCTTAGTCTATCCTCATAGGGAAGGTTTCTGATACATTGGGATCATCTTTGTTATCCTCCTTTGTACATTTTCCAGAGAATTTATATCCATTCTGTAATACGGTGACCAAAACTGTGCAGCATAATCTAAATGAGGCCTAACCAAGGATGTATAGAGTTGAAGAACAACCTGAGGACTCCTATTATTTATGCTTCTTGATATGAAAACCAAGGATTCTATTAGCTTTATTGCGAACACTTATGCACTGTTGTCTTGGTTTCAGATTACTGGCTAACCAGAACTCCTAAATCTTTTTCGCAATCCGTAATATTAAGATCTACATTATTTAGTTTTATATGTGGCATGGTTATTGTCCTGTCCAACATTTAGAACTTTGCATTTGTCTATATTAAACTGCCTCTGCCACTTCTCCGACCACTGCATCAGTCTATTCAAATCTTCCTGGAGTGCTCGAATGTCCTCGTCAGAAAAGAATTCGACGCCTATTTTGGTGTCATCGGCAAACTTGCCGATGTCGCTCTTTATGCCCTCATCTATGTCGTTTATGTAGATTGTGAACAGCAGGGGCCCAACACTGACCCCTGTGGAACACCGCTCGTGACGCTTCCCCACTCTGATTTCTCCCCATTTATGCAAACTCTCTGCTGCCTATTGTCAACCATGCCTCTATCCAGGAAAAAATTTCTCCTCCTATTCCATGTGCTTTAATTTTCCTCAATAGTCTCTGATGTGGGACCCTGTCAAAAGCCTTACTGAAGTCCATATACACAATATCATATTCGTTACCATGATCTACCTCCTCAAAATACCTTAGTGAAAAAAGTTAATAAATTCGTAAGGCAGGAACGTCCCTTTGTAAAACCATGCTGAGATTCGTTGATTAATTTATGCTTTTCAAGGTGGCTACGAACTGCCTCGGCAATTATTGATTCCATAAATTTTCCCACTATGGAGGTTAGGCTTATTGGTCTATAGTTCGAAGCTAAGGACCTGTCACCTGTTTTGAAAATAGGTATCACATTTGCCATTTTCCACTTATCTGGCACCATGCCAGTTTGTAGTGATATGTTGAAAAGATTAGCCAAAGGTGTGCTAAGCTCCTCTTTACATTCCTTTAGAACCCTTGCATACAGTTCATCAGGGCCTGGGGATTTGTTAGGTTTAATTTATCTATTTGCCTAAGGACCATGTCACTTGTGACCCTAATAGTGCACAGTTTATTATCGTCCTGTTCTACATAATTTATCATTACTGGAATATCACTGGTATCCTCCTGTGGTAAAAACTGAGAGGAAGTATGTTTTTAAAAATTCTACACATTTCCTTATCACTGTCAGTGAGCTGACCCGAGGAACTTTTGAGTGGGCCTATCTTGTCCCTGATCTTACTTCTGTATACCTGAAAGAATCCTTTTGGGTTAGTCTTCGATTCTCTTGAAAACTTTAACCTCATAATCTCTTTTTGCTTTTCTAATTTCCCCTTTTTTTATTTCTCTCTTTAACTGAATATATCGATTTCTTAATTGCCCCTCTCCTCTTTTGATTTGCCTATAATTGCCTCTCTTTTGACCAATCAGATATTTTAATCTATTGTTCATCCATTTAGGATCATTTTTGTTTGATCTGATTTCCCTATTTGGAACATAATTTGACTGAGCAGCTAGAACTATGCCCTGGAAAGCATCATATCGGCAACCATCACCACCTACCTGACCCCTAGTCAGGTCATTCCAGTTCAGCCCACCTAAGTAATTTTTCAGTCCTATGAAATCAGCCAAGCGAAAGTCAGGGACGGAGACTTGATTTGCCATTATTAGGGGAATTCCATGATATGTTAAAACTGAGTGATTTGTGATCACTCTCCCCAAGCTCATCATTAACCTCAAGATTATTAATTAGTGTTTCCCTACTGGCAAGAACCAAGTCAAGGAGGTTATTTCCCCTAGTTGGCTCTGTCACAAACTGTTTTAAAAAACAATCCTGGATCGTATCAAGAAAGTCACCCGACTCTAATTTCCTGTCAAATTGCTCCAGTCAATCTGTCTATAGTTGAAATCTCCCCATTAGCACAACATTTTCGTATGTAGATGCCTTACGAATTTCGTCCCATAGAAGTTTACTGCACTCCCTATCAAGATTTGGGGCCCTGTAAATCACACCCAAAATTAGTTTTTCTCGGCCCTCGAGAAGCTGAACCAAACAGATTCAGTGGCTGACGCTTCTAATTTAATATCTTGTCTAACACAACAATTTAAATTGCCCTCTGACATACATCGCTACTCCACCACCTTTCCTGTTGACCCTGTCAGTGTGGAATAATTTATAGCCTTGTATGTGACATTCAGATGGCATCTCTCTATCTTTCAGATTGAGCCAGGTCTCTGTTATAGCAATAATATCTATGTTTCCTGCACTTGCAATTAATCTAAGCTCATCTATCTTATTTCTAACACTCCTGCTATTAGTATAGTAAACCTTAAGGGAGCTAGTCCCTTGCTGCCTCTGCTGTCCCCCTTTGTTTTCTGACCTGTTCTATTGTCTTTATTTATAACTTCATGCTGAATGCCTTTTATACATTTACTGTTTCCAACCCTAGTGTTGCAACCTGCTTGTTTCCCACACACACCCATACCTCTATCTTCCATCAGTTTAAAATCATAGGCATTTCACCAATGGCCTTCTCAATCGAGTCTGCAAGTGCTACCACCCCTGCCCCAGAGAGATGAACCCCATCCCTTGCATACATATCATGTTTGCCATAAAAGTTGTTCCAGTTGTCAATGAATGGGATTGCAAATTCCTTGCAGTATCTGTCTAGCCAGCAATTTACACCAATTGCCCTAGACAACCATTCATTTCCTACTCCCCTTCTAGGCAAGATGCTACATATGATTGGGATCCCTCCCTTAGACTTAATGAAATCTATAGCTGACCTGTACTTATCTAGCAGCTCTTCTCTCCTACCCTTCCCAATATCATTTCCACCAGCACTGAGACAGATAATGGGCTTGTTCCCATTACCTGACATGATATTATCCAGTCTGTTGACAATGTCCCCAACACCAGCTCCAGGGAAGCACACTCTATCTCTCATCTTCTTATTCCTATTACAAAAAGCACGGTCAACATATCTTACCTGAGAGTCACCAACCACAAGAAAGCGCTTACCTTCATTAGCAGGGCAGTAGTACCCTTACCTTCACTGGCCACTGAAGTACATTCATCCTGGAGAACAGAGAAGCGATTCCCTACCTTCAGATCTTCACTCTTAATTTTTCCTTACTCTGATGCGCCTCCCATTACTGTGAACAACTCGCCACTTGTAGCAGGTGCTGGGCTGCACCTCACTGCTGGTACCCGTTGCTACCTCCCCACCTACAGCCTCCTCACAGTGAGAGACAGACTGCACCTCACTGCTAGAAGCCTCATTCCCCACATCTCCAACCACCTCACACTCTCTCCCAGGCCCATTGAGGTGGACCTTCAGCCTCCTAATCTCCTCCTGGAGAAGCAAGACCTCCTCCTTCAACTCTCCAAACTCAGTTTTTAAAACACTGCAGAAGCAAGCCATGCTTTGTTGTGTGTGAGTGGTGTGTGAGTGGTGAGGGGTTGTGTGAGTGGTGGTGTGTGAGTGGTAAGGGGTGTGTGTGAGTGGTAAGGGGTTGTGTGAATGGTGAGTGGTGGTGTGTTAGTGAGGGGTGGTGTGTGAGTGGTGAGGAGTTGTGTGAGTGGTGAGGGGTTGTGTGAGAACGAGGGGTGGTGTGTGAGTGGTGAGGGGTTGTGTGAGTGGTGAAGAGTTGTGTGAGTGGTAAGGGGTTGTATGAGTGGTGAGGGGTTGTGTGCTAGTGGCGAGGGGTTGTGTGAGTGTGAGGGTTGTGGAGTGGGTGTGTGTAAGTGGTGGTGTGTGAGTGGTGAGGGTTGTGTGAGTGTGAGGGGTTGTGTGAGTGGTGAGGGTGGTGTGTGAGTGGTGAGGGTAGTGTGTGAGTGGTGAGGGGTAGTGTGTGAGTGGTGAGGGGATGTGTGAGTGGTTAGGGGTTGTGTGAGTGCTGAGGGGTTTGTGTGAGTGCTGAGGGTGTGAGTGGTGAGGGGTTGTGTGAGTGGTGAGGGGTTGTGAGTGGTGAGGGTGTGAGTTGTGAGGGATTTGAGTAGTGAGGGGTTGTGTGAGTTGTGAGGGGTGGTGTGTGAGTGGTGAGGGGTTGTTGAGTGGTGAGGGTTGTGTGAGTGGTGAGGGTGATGTGTGAGTGGTGAGAGGTGGTGTGTGAGTGGTGAGTGGTGTCCGAGTGGTGAGGGGTGTGAGTGGTGAGGAATGGTGAGTGGTGAGGGATGGTGAGTGGTGAGGGGTGTGTGAGTGGTGAGGGTTGTGTGAGGGTGGTGTGTAAGTGGTGAGGGATGTTGAATGGTGAGGGTTGTGTGAGTGGTGAGGGTTGTGTGAGTGGGAGGGATGGTAAGTGGTGAGGGTGGTGAGGGGTTGTGTGAGTGGTGAGGGTTGTGTGAGTGGTGAGGGGTTGTGTGCGTGGTGAGGGTTGTGTGCGTGGTGAGGAGTTGTGTGGTGGTGAGGGGTGTGCGTGGTGAGAGTTGTGTGAGTGGTGAGGGGTTGTGTTGAGTGGTGAGGAGTGTGAGTGTGAGGGGTTGTGTGAGTGGTGGAGGGTTGTGCGAGTGGTGAGGGGTGTGAGTTGTGAGTGGGTGTGTGAGTAGTGAGGGGTTGTGTGAGTGGTGAGGGGTTGTGTGAGGGGTGGTGTGAGTGGTTAGGGGTTGTGTGAGTGGTGAGGGATGATGTGTGAGTTGTGAGAGGTGGTGTGTGAGTGGTGAGGGGTGTGAGTTGTAAGGAATGGTGAGTGGTGAGGGATGGTAAGTGGTGAGGGGCTGTGTGAGTGTGAGGGATTGTGTGAGTGGTGAGGGTGTGGTGTTAAGTGGTGAGGATGTGAATGGTGAGGGTTGTGTGAGTGGTGGAGGGATGTTAAGTTGTGAGGGATGGTGAGAGGGTGGTGAGGGTTGTGTGAGTGGTGAGGGGTTGTGTGATGGTGAGGGTTGTGTGCGTTGTGAGGGGTTGTGTGCGTGTGAGGAGCTGTGTGAGTGGTGAGGGTTTTGTGCGTAGTGAGGGGTTGTTGTAGTGGTGAGGAGTGTGATGGTGAGGGTTGTGTGAGTGTGAGGGGTTGTGTGAGTGGTGAGGGTGTGGTGAGTGGTAGGGTTGTGTGCATGGTGAGGGTTTGTTGTGCGTGTGAGGGTTGTCTGAGTGTGAAGGGTTGGTGAGTGTGAGGGGTCTGTGATGTGAGAGTGTGAGTGGTGAGGGGTGGTTGCGTGTGAAGGTGTGTGCGTGGTGAGGGGTTGTGTGAGTGGTGAGTGGTTGTGTGAGTGGTGAGAGTGTGATTGATGAGGGGTTTTGTGAGTGTTGAGGGTTATGTGAAGTGGTGAGGAGTGTGAGTGTGAAGAGTTGTGTGAGTGTGAGGGGTTGTGCGAGTTGTGAGGGGTTGTGTGAGTGTGAGGTTGTGTGCATGTTGAGGGTTGTGTGCGTATGTGAGGGGTTGTGTGCGTGTGAGGGTGTGTGAGTGTGAGGGTGTTTAGTGGTGAGGGTTGTGTGCGTGTAGGGTGTGTGCGTGGTGAGGTTGTGTGAGGTGGTAGAGGGTTGTAGTGGTGAGGGGTTGTGTGCGTGGTAGGGTGTGTATTGGAGTGCGATGTGAGGGAGTGTGAGTGGTGAGGGGTTGTGTGCGTGTGAGGGTTGTGTGCTGGTGAGGGTTGTGTGAGGGGATGAGGGCGTTGTGTGAGTGGTGATGGGTATTGGTGCGTGTGGGTTGTGTGAGTGGTGAGGGTTGTGTGAGAGTGAGGGTGTGAGTGTGAGGGGTGGTGATGTGTGAGGGTGTGTGTGTAGTGCTGAGGGTGTGAGTGCTGAGGGGTGTGATGTTGAGGGTGTGAGTGTTGAGGGTGTGAGTGGTGAGGGGTTGAGTGGTGAGGGTTCGTGTGTGAGTGTTGAGGGGTTTGGGTGTTGAGGGTGTGAGTGTTGAGGGGTGTGAGTGTTTGAGGGGTGTGAGTGTTGAGGGTTTGAGTGTTGAGGGGTGTGAGTGTTGAGGGTGTGAGTGTTAGAGGGTGGTGTGTGAGTGGTGGTGTTTAAGTGATGAAGGTGGTATGTGGGTAGTGAGGGCGGGTGTATTGAGGGCGGCGTTGTGAGTAGTGAGGGTGGCATGTGATAGTGAGGAGTAGCATGTGAGTAGTGAGGGTGGTGAGTGGGATAGGGTGATTTGTGGATTGGTGTGTTTTGGGTGTGAGGGATGGTGTGTGAGTATTAAGAGTGGTTGAGTATTGGAGGGCGGTGTGTGAGTGGTGTGGTGGCTGTAAGGGGTGAAGGGGTGGTGTGAGTGGTAAGTGGTGTGTTTGAGTGGTGAGGATGGAGTGTGAGTGTGAGAATGTGTGTGAGTGGTGAGGAGTGGTGTGTAAGTGGTAAGGGTTTGTTAGAGTGGTGAGAGTGGTGTGTGAGTGTTGAAAGGATAGTGTGAGTGGGGGGTAGTATGAGGGTGTGCGTGTGGTAGTGAGGGGTGGCATGTGAGGGGTGAGGGGGTGGTGTGAGTGGTTAGTAGTGTGAGTATTGATGTTGGTGTGTATGGTTGAGGTTTTTTTTGGCATGTGAGTAGTGACGGTTTGTTTTGATAGTGAGGGGTGTGTGTGATTAGTGATGGAGTGGTATGTGAGTGGTGAGGGGTGGTGTGTTAGTAGTGAGGAGTGGCGTGAGTGGTGAGGGGCGGCGCGTGAGTGGTAAGGGACAGCCTGTGAGTGATGTGGGGTGACGTGTACCCACCTAATTGTAGTTGCAGGGGTCGAATCACAGCTTCTGGCCCCGCCTCTTCGCTGGTCGCTACTAGGTCCACTCTCTCCCTACTCCAAGAGCTTTATAGTACTTCTTAAAGCTATGTATGGATCCTGCCTCCCCGACATTACTCTCCAGATTGTTCCACTTCCTGACAACTCTGTGACTAAAGAAATACTTCCTAACATCCCTGTGACTCATATGAGTTTCAACTTCCATCTCTGAAACATCCTGTTCTTATCCACCTTGTTAATTCCTCTCAGTATTTTGTATGTCATTATCATGCCACCCCTATCCCTCCTGTCCTCCAGTGTCGTCAGGTTAATTTCCTTAACCTCTCCTCGAAGGATATACCCCTTAGTTTTGGCACTAGTCTTGTTGCAAACCTTTGCACTTTCTCAAATTTCTTGACGTGCCTGACAAGGTGTGGGTTCCAAATTGGTGCTGCATACTCCAATGTGGACCTGACGTACACGGTGTACAGAGTCTTAAACGATTCCTTACTCCGGTGTCTAAACGCTATTCATAGGTTTGTCAGGCGCCCATATGCGTATAATACCGAACACACCAGGAGATGTGCTCGGTATTATATTCACCCAAAGATCCTTTTTCCTTGAGTAAGGTTTGCAGTCGTTAACTTCCTAACTTGTACTTTGTATGCAGTCTTCTTTCACCTTCCCCAATTTTCATGA